AAATTGAACTATTCCCATTTTGCTTGAAATTTAATCAATTTGACATTAAACTCAGTTTAATCATATCGAATGAATAAAAAATAAGCATCTGATAATAATCCCAGTTTAATCATGGTTGATTAGATTGTAGATTATCTTTTTTTGAATAAATTTTAATCATTTTAGATTCTATTTTAATAATTTTTGATTGAATTTTAATCTTTTTTGATTATATATCAGTATTCAAAAAGAATAAAATTTAATACTGGAAAGATTATTTCGATTTTAATCATGCATGACTATTGCCGAAGTAATCATGGCTCGGACTCAATAAGGTGAAGCGGGAAACTGCATACTTTTTAAGCTTTTATGATTTAATTTATCTTTGAGTGTACATCGTTGCGATAAAAATGCCCATCTTTTAAATTAATCATATGATTTGAGTAGTAGCTATACTGAAGATCCGAGAGATTTCGCCCCTTCAGTGGTAGGAAAATCATTTTTGCAGTATGGAGAATATCAGAAAATCCACGATTTGTGACTAAACATGCTTTCACAGAAGGAAACAAATAAACGAGTGTTTACCTTATCACCATAGTAAAGTACTCGTGCAATTTTTGTGCATCTAAAACTGCCCATAAAGACGGAAATGAATAAAAACTGAAAATTTTCATGCATTTCCAAATGGTTTCCTACCATTCCCATACATTCGAAAGTGACTGGCCCTCTGGATGTGGATGATGTCAAAAACAACAAAACATGATTTATTAAGTCCTTTCGTGAGTCTATTTAAAAAACATGGGTTTTTATATTGACAGTTCTACAATTCGATTTGAAAGTTTATACTTTTAAAAGTAAAAAACGAGTTACTTTTGAATTGAAAGTTGGCTGACTTTTGTTTTGAATGCTAAAGACTTTCTACCAAAAAGAAACAACGCAAACTTTTAATTATACCAATGGTTTTTTCAATTTAATTAACGATAATTTTTTGTGTGAGGAACCTTTATAGGATATATCCTAAGAGGAAGAGGTGACAATTGGCTTCTTCCTCTTCTCTATCTCTATCTTTATCTATCTCTATCTCTATCTTACGCACATGAAATCGGCCAATCAGGAGCTGGTTCACGTTTGACAGAAAAGTGGCTCATTTTCGCACCCGTATTATCACCTCTTCTCTTAGGATATATCCGTGTAGAGTGAGGGTGGTGATATTCAACATATTTTTTTGTGTTACGTAATATTTGATCGTAGATGTAGTGTTACGTATTATTTGAACTAACCTTAAATGGTTACCTTCGTGTGGGCAAGTGAGGATGCTATATAGTCCTCTCCAGGCGGGTTCGTATTGGTGCGATTTGCGTGTGTTAGTGAGATGAAATTTTTTGTTAGCTGTGAGAAATTTTTTGTTTGCTGTAAGAACTGTCATTCTAAAGTAAAAATAAACAACAAAACGAAAACAAACCCTAGGCTTGCACGGTAACAGTCAAGTACCCTTTTGTGAGTAAACCCTAATAAAAATTGTATGGTTAATTTGCTTAACGACGTGTTCTGGGTATCATCCAAACCATTTGTGGAATAGTTCAATGATTTGGGTTATCGTTCGTTTATGGTTATTTTTTATTAGGGAAGGTTAACCCATTTTTGATAAAGGTGGCTTTACTCATTAATGAGTAAATTATTTTAACAACAATGAATTTCTGCTAACAGTTACTACTTAATTGGCTGAACTACACATTAATTAGTGGTGCCGCTTTTATTGGCAATGGGTTCACTTTTACTCATAAATGGATGTTTGATTCTTACCGTGCACATGACAGTATACGCTAGTGTGTGTAAAATTCTGGATCAACAATAGAAAAGGGCCCATCAACATTTGTAAACAAACCGTTCCAAAGCCCTTTACTCACAAAGCGAAGGCCACCCACGTAAACCAACACCATCATCGTGTAGGTAGAAGTTTCCCCTATCCGATGATGGTGTTGGTTTGCGTGGGTGGCCTTAGCTTTGTGAGTAAATGGCTTTGGAACGGTTTGTTTACAAATGTTGATGGGCCCTGTTCTATTGTTGATTCAGAATTATGTTATTAGTGTAGTGTTCGTGAGATCCTGCTTGGAGAACTCAATACACGGTAACCACAAAATACCCAATAATGAATACAAAGTAAGCATTTTCGAGGGAGACTGGGACTACCCATTAAATGAGTAAAAATATTACCAATTAATGAGTATTTGTTATTCAAAAATGAATACTTACTACTTGTTTTTGTAGTTGTAATTACTCATAAATGGGTAAAATTTAACTCATTTAATGGGCAGTCCCAGTTTCCCTCGCAAATGCTTACTTTGTAGCCATTATTGGGTATTTTGCGGTTACCGTGTACTGTAGAGTTCTCCAGATGCACAAAAGTGTGCGTGAGACCGCGCGCTACCTTTTTAAGTAGTTGTGATATCGCGATACCTTTTTGTTTCTTCTTCTTTCTCGTTTTTACGTATGGATGTTGGATTTTAGTGTTCGTGAGATTGCGCTTGGAGATCTCTGTTGGCTATTTCAAAACTACCCAAATTTGGGTAAAATCCACCCAGATCTGTCAAAACCGGTCAAAACGGAACCTACCCCAAAATGGGTGAACTATGCTGGGAGTGACAAGTTGACAAATTAACAACGTCGATCGGATTCATGTCGATGTTGTTCATTTCTCAACTTGTTTATTTACCAACACAGTTTACCCATTTTTGGGTACACGGTAAGAAAAAAGTACCCAACGGCCAGTTCACTTTTACCTACTTTTGACTAGTTTGTCTCCTTGTGTCCTACACTCAAAAATAATACAATTCGTTAATAGATTAAAAAATAAACATTTTTCAAATTCACCGGTTGTATACGCTCCATAGATTAAATTTTTACACTATCATAACTTAAACTTTATACCAAGTATGAATAGCAGTCAAAAAGCCTTCCCAAAGTATTCATGTCTAGGGTGATTATTTCTTACCACACCTAGATTAGTCGTGCTGCAAGCGGTAGGTGGGTAGGTGGCGCGTTTTGTTTTTTGTTTTTACCGTGGTCCAAGCTGGCGGTCATTAGTGCATATTATGGAAATTGTGTCGATTAGACTGGAACTGGTGGAAAATCTGACCATTACGTGGAATCCGTGGATTGAGTTTCATGGTGTTTCACAAAAAGTGGCGCATTCGGGTGCTCTACCGCTGTCTGGTAGGTTTGCTTACATTTGTTAGGTTGTGAATGATTAGCTAATGGGAAATTTATTTCAGCTGCTGACGTCGAATTTGGTCCATCATGGGGAAGACGAGGAGGGAATCTTCGGATTCATGGAGGAGGACATCAGGAATGAGGAAGCTCGTATCCGAGGACAAAAGTGCTACATCTGCAAGGAGCGGTATGCTACCGTTACTTGCTGCGTAGAGCAGTGCTTCTGTAAATTTCATACGCTCTGTGGGATGCGGAAAAGGTGCCTGTTGCATACGTGCGATCCATGGATACGTTCCAGTCGTGGTACGATAAGCTCGTAGCGCTGGTGGATAAGGTGAAATACTCTGAGACCGAGGCCGGTGGGATTTGCAACGATGAGATGGGACCTACAGGAAGCTGGAATCGATTCGTGCCCCGTGCTGTCCGAATGGCTGGTTCCATCGGAGCTGCGTGGCACAGCTTCCCCATTCGGCGGGGTACTTTCTCAAGTGCCCTTTGTGCAGCAACAAGGACGACTTTAGCCAGGAGATGCAGCAGCGTATGATTTATATACCGGAAAAGTAAGTGAGGCGGAGGTGGGTGAATCGGTATTGGAATACTGAATATTTTTCATTTGTTCTAGGGATGCCTCGTGGGAGCTGGTAACTGGTCAAGAAGATTTGACTGCCACGAGGGGCTTCCGTCGAAAAGTTGCTTCGAGCCATACCGGTCGTAAGGCTCGAGAAGCTCAGCTCGAAAAAGATCAAATCGTTGACTTCTCCGAAGAATGAAGTATCCTCCGCCGGATTATCGACCGTGTTCGATTTCAACTATCGTGTAAAGTTGAACAAAAAGCAGCGTCGAAAATCGATGGTAGAATTGCAGTCCATCAAGGAGGTCATCCGTTCCGACACGGATATGCTAACGGATGCCTCGGCGGAACAGGAGATCGTACGTACCAAAACGCCTGCCCAGAAATCCTTAGCCAAGCAGTTTAAACTAAAGCTTCTCGGGTCCAAATCCGAACCAAGAAAACGGTCGACCAGAGAGTCTGATCCGGAGCACGATTGCAAAATATTTGATTGCTTCACCAAGGTTTTCACTTTTCTAAGAAAATAAATTATACATTGTTTGAATTTATTGCTTTTCAATCAATAAAAATACCAAAATTAAAAGGACAGTGATCAAATACATTGTATAGATAATCCACCGGTAAACTACGCATGAATATTCAAAAGATAAACTATACCCCTTATACTTCAAGTTTATACTAGGCTCGTTTTGTTGGCAACTAAACGAAGCCTGGGGTCAACCAGGCGAATAGCGTTTTAGTGTGATTTTTAAACTAATTAGTTTAATTTTTTTTCTGAGTGTACTAATGTTGTCAAAAACGGACGAGCAAAACCACCCAACAGGGGTAGTAAAGTGTGGGAACCCAACGTTGAGTATAATCATATTTACCTACTGTTGGGTACATCTAACTTACTTTTGGTTAAAAAGCCAGTGGAAAATTCCATACGAACTGCACACAAGTAAATGAAAATTACTTTGACCCGCTTTACCTACTTTTGGGTTCCTGCACTATAGTGCCGAGATGAGTGAAAAGAACTTAATTTTGGGTACTTTTTTCTAACCGTGTAGGTTCAGTTTTGACTGATCTGGGTTGACTTTACCCAATTTGGTTTTGAAATAGCGTATACAGAGGATACTACCAACAAAAAGTCTATGATTGCTACCAATCATAACTGTCAGTTTTATGTGTGTGCGTGACGCGTCAAATTAGAGAAACGAAAGTGAAAAAAAGTTTTTCAGCAAACTCAGGCGGTCCGTTATCAGATTCTGGCGTCATTTTCCTTGCTTGCTGACTAGTTTGCAGTACGCAGTGGCTCACAGTTAAATAAATTGTCGCGTCTTTTGTAGCCATTTTGATCGCCGTTTAAAATTGTATCGGTACTTCTTGTAAGATGTCTCACGGTCGTAACGAGTGCCGAATTTACGTCGGAAATCTACCCCCGGATATACGCACCAAGGACATTCAGGATCTCTTCCACAAGTTCGGTAAAGTTACATTCGTGGACTTGAAAAACCGCCGCGGACCGCCATTTGCATTTGTAGAATTTGAAGATGCTCGGTATGATGGTGACTTTTCGCTTCAAAATAAAGAGTAGATAATGGTAAAATTGTTGTTTGCAGCGATGCGGACGATGCCGTAAAGGCTCGCGATGGTTACGATTACGACGGGTACCGGCTACGGGTGGAATTTCCTCGAGGTGGAGGACCTGGAAGCTATCGCAGCAGTCGAGGAAACAGTGACCGCGGAGGCGGTCGGGATAGAGGCAATCGAGGACCACCGGCAAGGAGATCCCAGTTCCGTGTGATGGTTACTGGCTTGCCCGCTTCCGGGTCATGGCAAGATTTGAAGGATCATATGCGAGAAGCCGGTGATGTTTGCTTCGCTGATGTGTACAAAGATGGAACCGGTGTGGTAGAGTTCCTGCGCCATGAAGATATGAAATATGCCATCAAGAAGCTGGATGATTCCAGGTTCCGATCACATGAGGTGTGTATGGAAGTTTTTTTGAATATGTATGTATAGTTGCGTTTTAAATCACTGAATCATTTTTCCCATAGGGAGAGGTAGCTTACATTCGCGTTCGAGAGGATTCAACCAATACTGAAGACCGGAGAGGCGCAGATCATCGTGACCGGTAAATGCAATTGATTAATCCCGTTGTTATTAGTTGTTAATAACCTTCCTTTGCTTTAGATCATATTCCCCGCGCAGGCGCCGAGGAACTCCTACCTATTCACCGGTACAACGCAGCTTCTCCCGATCACGCTCCCGCTCATTCAACTACTAGAACTGGTTGATGCGATCATGGATTCCAAGTAATTTGATAAATTTCTTTTTGTTTGTTTCCAAAACCTAGCGTAGCAATGCGCTATCTTTCAAACCACTTCCGCCAAAAATGCGACTATGACGTAGAGTATCCTATGCTTCTACGTCTTGCAATTTAATAGATTAGCCATTATTTGTCGAGACGTAAGTTCGGTTGTCTCATAACATAAGTGTAGGAATACTTTGATCATTTTAGTACATTCCTCGAGAAGCCAACACTTTTCGTGATAGGGAACATCATTAACATAAAACAAATTCAATCATTTTAGTCTAACATTTTATTACTGTATGAAACACATCAACTGTATATGGAACATAATAAGTGCTTTGAACAATCTTATCGGAGCGGAAGACACAACATCTAAACGTATTTTGAACAATCAACCATAGAGTTTATTTACTTTTCCGAGACACATTGTGAAATGCATAGGTAGTTGTTGAAGAAGCTACATTAATTTCTAAGTTCTCATCTCTTCTAGCCTCTGAAATGCGACATGAAGATCTCTATCAGTAACTGGATGGTCTATATTTCTATCATATTCATGCAGATTTCCAACCCTAAAAGTGAATACATTCTAAAGCCTGTTTCTTCTTCTTCCGAACAGGAAAAAGGATTCTTTCCTTGTTTGTACTTTTGTGCAAGGATCTATCTCGCTACGGAGAGTGACTCGATATTGTCTCCTGCTAGGACTTATGAACAGGATTCCCGGAATTTCTTGAAGGATCTGTCATGACCGGATTCCCCTTTGTTCGTTCGATTCTCTACGCATCTAGATTGGACTGGACAAGAAAACAGGAAAGGATAGGATTCAGGAATTGCGAAATGGAAGCGGTTAATCACGTTGCTCTTCAACGCCGTTTCTGTATCACGACAAGAATCAGGGATTACAAGAAATCACATTGTGACGTCAGGATTCTTCGCTACGCTATGGACAATTTTGCGATCAAATGCATTAGCAGTATTTTGCCTGACTGCTTTGCATTCTTTTCTCATTATCTTTGTCACAAAATCTTGTCAAATGAAGAGTTGTTAGAGATTGTCTTATGCATGCGGCTTGTTAAGCATACAAGAAGTACAACACAGCGAAACAATGAGACGAAGCACGGATGCATACATAGAAACTGTTGGAGTCTCTGAAAGGATGATATTTGAACGCCTTTCAAGGAGTAGAATCTTTAGGAAACATCAAGCAAATTTTAGTTTCAAGGATACCACAAAGCTTGAGCTGATGGAAATAGTATCGGAACACTCACTTTAAATGAACTTGCGGAAGGATGCTGCAGTCAAGAAACCCGTCCACGGAAGACAACATTTTGGATTTGTTCAGGACTCGAAAATGTTACCGCAGGCCGCTACTTTTGTAATAATTTTGAATCAAATTAAGCAACAAACCGCAAGTACAAATGACGATCTCAAACAACGTTTCAGTTGACAAAACTGTTGACACTATAGATTCACCGAATCTGTTTGCCATTAACCTTCGATAGTTTTGAAATTTCAACATTTCAAGTTAAATCTCAAAGGAATTGCCGAAATAAAGGATAACTTGGATTTGGACATGGATGGAGTAAGGTGTAAAAATTGTATGGAATGGACTTCGCGGGATATTTTGATTTTTCGGAGGATCCTCAGTTTCGGAATGGTTGCACTTGGAGACCCCATGTTTCGCTTGTCTCGTTAGGAATCAGGATTAAGGACACCGAGGGAAGAGGAGATCTTCTGTCTGTTCAAGGCTTTTTATTTTAACTGCACTACGGAAAAAGCGTGCATCCTTATTGGTTGGACCGGTTGCAAAGAATCAGGAGAAAACGGTGTGTATTACTCAATATTTAACCTTTTCTTTACCTTTTTTACAGTCGGTGATTAGATCCTGTTATGTTCTTTATTAACATTCTAGAATGTTTGCATAAACCTTTTACCTAATATTCACTATTTTAGTGTCCGCTTTTATTTTTAACATTTATTCTATCTCATTATCCAATTTGTATTCATTTGAATGTAATACATTCTTCTTTTTTGCTCTCACGAGGCGCACTATAAAATCAATGCGGAATTGCCTACACGTTAACACTAGTAGAAGGTGCATGTGGACTTTGATTCGATAGAAAGTTTCAGTTTATATATTAAGTGCTAAAAGTGGTCGCAGTCAAATGATGGCTAAGTGGTGGATCCGGCAAATGATTTAAATACTGACTGTAAAATTGTGTAAAGCTACACTACTATCCAGTAACACTGTGTGTAATATGAGTGGCAATGCAATTTGCGGAACGCAGGAGCAAAGGATTAGCTCGATACATAAAATATTTCAACTTAACCAACAGTAAGTAAATACGGCGAGAACTGATTTTTGGTAAACGAATGTTGCAAATTATCGTGGAAAACAAATACAAGCGATTTCACAACTACTACAAAATGTTAGTAACATCCATATCACAATCCATGTTATACGAGAGGTGTTTAGCCACCCATCTGATAGTGGTAGTCCGGGTTTTATCAGGAGATGGGAGAGTTAAGGTTCCCCCAAACTGGCGCGTTTTTTACGCCGCGGTAGCGAAATTCGCGAGGGTACCCACACCGGAGCGACAGTTTTTTTTTCGCAGCGTCGTAGCGATCGTGAGCAATGGATCCGTCGTCGGATGAAGAAGAGGCGCTTTTGCTTTTTTTTTTTTTTAACTCTTTATTTGTTCCAAATTCAAAATAAATTACATTTCATTTTTAACCTAGGTGCTCCAGTTACTGCAGTAACGTACCAGCCTTAATTGTTATGATATATATCTAAGTGTTTTTACATTGTTCATGTCTTGGCAATTAAGTATTTTAAACAGGTTTTTTAACCTGCATGTCAGTATAACAATTGATATCTTAGAACTAAAAACTAAAACTAAATCTTATCTAAGTATAAAGGGAATTAATCGTTGCAATTGAGGATTGCAACGATTTTTGCCTGAAATTATTCATTATTTTGTTGGACATTTGTTCTAAAGTCTCAACATTCGAAATTCTATGTACCTCGGTAGTACTGTACCAGGGAGGCAACTTCAAAATCATTTTCAGAACTTTGTTCTGAATCCTTTGAAGTGCTTTTTTTCTGGTAGTGCAACAACTAGACCATATTGGCACAGCATAAAGCATGGCCGGTCTAAAAACTTGTTTAAATATTAGAAGTTTATTCCTCAGGCAAAGTTTGGATTTTCTGTTTATAATAAGAGGATACAAACATTTAATATATTTGTTACATTTGGCTTGAATGCCCTCAATGTGATCTTTAAAAGTTAATTTTTGGTCAAGTATTAATCCAAGATATTTCACTTGGTTTGACCAGGAAATTGGAACTCCGTTCATAGTGACTATGTGACTACTACTAGGTTTCAAAAACGAAGCTCTAGGCTTGTGTGGAAATATTATAAGTTGAGTTTTGGAAGCGTTGGGAGAAATCTTCCATTTTTGTAAATAAGAAGAGAAAATATCTAAACTTTTCTGCAGTCTGTTGCAAATAACACGAAGACTTTTTCCTTTAGCGGAAATGCCTGTGTCATCAGCGAACAAAGATTTGTGGCAACCCTGAGGCAAATCAGGGAGGTCCGAAGTGAAAATGTTATACAATATAGGCCCAAGAATGCTACCCTGAGGAGCTCCTGCTCTAACAGGTAGTCGATTAGATTTGGAATTTTGATAATTTACCTGCAGAGTTCTGTCAGTTAAATAATTTTGAACTAATTTCATAATATAAAGTGGAAAATTAAACTTTTTCAATTTAGCAATCAAACCTTCATGCCAAACACTGTCGAATGCTTTTTCTATGTCTAGAAGAGCAACTCCAGTTGAGTGGCCTTCAGTTTTGTTTGAACGAATTAAATTGTTAACTCTTAAGAGTTGATGAGTTGTTGAATGCCCATGGCGAAATCCAAACTGCTCATCTGCAAAAATTGAGTTCGTATTGATGTGAAGCATCATTCTATTCAAAATTATCTTTTCAAAAAGTTTACTTATTGAAGAAAGCAAACTTATTGGGCGGTAGCTAGAAGCTTCAGCTGGATTTTTATCCGGCTTCAAAATTGGAACAACTTTTGCATTTTTCCATTTATCAGGAAAGTATGCCAAATGGAAACATCTGTTAAATAATTTTACCAAGAAAGACAAGGTACTCTCTGGGAGTTTTTTTAATGAGGATATAGAAAATTCCATCATCACCTGGCGCTTTCATATTTTGAAACTTTTTAGTTATAGACCTTACTTCGTCCAAATCAGTCCCCCAGGAATCATCAAAAATATTTTCCCGAAAGAAAATATTCAGAAAATCCCGAGCAACCTGATTCTCAATAGGACTAGTAAGACCCAAACTGAAATTATGGGAACTCTCGAATTGCTTAGCCAAATTGCCAAATTTGTGATCAAAATTTTACCACCTTCTTTAAGCGCTGGAATAGGCTTTTGAGGTTTTTTCAAAATTTTTGTGAGTTTCCAAAAGGGTTTGGAACTCGGGTCTAATTTAGAAATATTATTTTCAAAAGTTTTGTTCCTCAGGGCAGCGAATCGCTTTTTAATTTGTTTTTGCAAATCCCGCCAGATAACCTTCATGGCAGGATCGCGTGTTCTTTGATATTGTCTCCTACGGACATTTTTAAGACGGATCAAGAGCTGAAGATCGTCGTCTATTATAATTGAATCGAATTTAACCTCGCATTTTGGTACTGAGGCAGCTCTTGCTGCAACTATAGAAGTAGTCAGAGATTCAAGAGCATAATTAATTTCATCTTTGGTTTGCAAAGGAATATTTGGATCGAAGTTATATTCCATAAATGTTCGATATTGCTCCCAATCAGCTCTATGGTAATTGAAAGTAGAGCTGTTGGGATTACAAATTATTTCTTGGGATATTTAAAAAGTTACTGGAAGGTGATCAGAACCGAAGTCAGCATGGGTAACCAGTTGGCTACAAAGTTGACATGAATCAGTTAAGACCAAATCAATAGTGGAGGGATTTCTTGCAGAAGAAAAGCATGTTGGGCTGTTTGGAAATTGAATAGTGTAATAACCTGCAGAACAATCATCAAACAGAATATTACCATTGGAATTGCTTTGAGCATTATTCCATGAGCGGTGTTTTGAATTAAAATCACCAATAATGAAGAATTTAGACCTATGACGGGTAAGTTTCTGGAGGTCACCCTTGAGAAAATTCTTTTGCTGGCCTACGCATTGGAATGGCAAATAGGCAGCTATAAACGTAAGTTGTCCAAATTTTGTTTCAACAGAAACTCCCAAAGTTTCAAAAACTTTGGTTTCAAATGAAGAAAGAATTTTATGTTTGATTCGTCTATGAATAATGATGGCAACGCCACCACAGGGTCCATCAAGACGATCATTTCTATAAATCAAGTAATTTGCGTCCTTCTTAACCTTATGGTCAGGTTTAAGGAACGTTTCAGTTATAACGGCAATATGCACGTTATGAACTCGCAAAAAGTTAAATAGCTTGTCTTCATTATCTTTAAGAGATCGAGCATTCCAATTTACAATATTTAATGCTTTAAAATCCATTACTGAATTTTAAAGTCATGACAATATTATTTGCAAATTTTACTCCAGTTTGAATAGCATCAAACATGGAGTTAGATTTAAGCATATCAGAAATCATGTCAATTAATGATTTCTGTAAAAATTCCATTTTAGGGGCAGTAATGCTTCCTAAATCAAAATTGTCAAAATTTCCGTTAGAATTACTTTGATTAGTATTTTGATTTCTACCCGTTGCAATAGCAGCATAGGTAGCTCCATTAACTCGCTGAACATTGTTAGCAGCGAGGGGAGTAGGTACAGATGAAAAATTTGAAGCAGGGGTGATATTTGTACCTACGGGTACGAATGTAGAATTGGTTCCTCGCTGATCGTTGTTAACAGCAGAGGAATTTGTACCTGTTCGGAAACGTGGAGCGTTTCTTACCTGTCGGTTAGAACGAGATTGTAGGATCGCTTTGCGAGTCTTACATTCCCAAAAATTGGATTTGTGGTTTTCACCACAATTTGAACATTTAAATTTCTTAGGATCTTCCTTCACAGGACAGTCGTCCTTTGCTTGAGAGGAATCACCACAATTCATGCATTTAGATGGCATGTAGCAATTTTTAGTTCCGTGACCCCATCCCTGGCATTTACGGCACTGGGTTTACTAGATTTTTTCTTGGATGATGGATCATTCTCATCATCCGTGAGCAAATCAAATTGATTACTCAAATTAATTTCATCAGAAGGGGGGTCCAGAGTTTGCCCCTTTCTTTTGCGTTTAGGCGCCATGGCGGCAGTAAATTTTTATCCAAATCGACTTCCAAGCAGATTACTATAAGAATCTGAAGGATCGAAGAGGAATTTTCCAAATCGATATCCAAGAAGGATTACCTCGGGTAGGGTCCAAACAAGGATCGAAGAGGAATAAGAGGAGTTGAACAAGGTAGAAAATTTTTAAAGGTTGAGCACTGAAAAGTGCTGTTTAAATTTGTTGTAGCTTTAGGTAGTAGTAACACTTCCTTCAGCAAAAAGCAAATAGATCCGCACGGCAAGAGAGCACGATTTTGCTAGTTTCTTTACAAGCAGAGGAAAATGCGATGAAGTATTTGGGCAATTTCCTTCATTTTAGTGATATTTGTTTACAGGTTTGTTTGATATTACTGATTTCTCACCACTGGTGATCACGGAAGTTCGTGGAATTTTAAAGAAAGTTTGTCAATATTTAGAAAACATTTCAAAACTTAACTTCCCCTGGAATGCATATCATCATAAAAAAGGAGATCTTCGGGAAATTTCGTAGACAGAACATCAGGGAAGTTCGCATAACTTCTAAGAAATTTGCAAAACTTAAAAGAAAGTTTGTAAATCTTCAGATAAACTTGCAGAACTTCAGGAAAATACGTAGATCATCAAAAACTTTGCAGAATTTCAAAGAGATTCACAGAACTTCAGAAATGTTGATAGATCATCAGAGAAATTTGCAAAACATAAGGGAAGCTCACAGAACTTCAGGAAAGTTCATAGATCATCAAAGAAATTCAAGTTGAAGATTGAAAATTTGAGAAAGTTCAAGGAATTTCATAGTGTATCAAGGAATTTCGTAGAACTTCAGGAAAATGTGAAGAACTTCATACCTGTGGCGTGTTGAGCTGTTTAATATTTCCAGAAGAATGATCATACTGAAGTCTTGGATGTTAACAATAATTTCTGAGCATACTGGAATCTTTTTAGATTTTTTCGAAGAACTTTGAACTCTCGGACAGTCTGTTGAGTTCGCTCTTCGTATTCTCGCGATATTTCAGATGAATTATCTCAGGAAATTTTGTTTAGTTTGGCTAAATGCTTCTCCAGAACTCATCTTTGAATTCATTTGTCATACTCCTAAAAAATTCAATGGAATTATTATCAGAACTGAATTTATTTCTAACATCGCTTTGGATTTTCTTCTTCTCTTGGAATTAAACTTACAGTTTCTTAATTCTCTTTATAAATAAATTTAGTTCTACTACCATATTCCTTAGATTTAGCATAGCATATGCAATTGTACAAATCGTGGGTGGTCAACTATCCTCACAAATACCTTAGATTTCTCCTCCGGAAGCTTCTTTGAAGGGCAGTGAGTTTATAGCAGTTTACTGATCTTTGTACAAGTTGAGTTCCAAGTAGAGCAAGGAATTTTGTAGAAGTTCTTTGAAATACATAGAAGCTCTGCTAGGATTTTGAGAATTTCGGGGAGATTCAGGGAGCTTTGTAGATAGGAGTATTGTAGAAATTCCAATGATTGTCTGTGATCTTGATCAAATTTCAGGGAGCAGTAAATTAAACTTACAAGTTCTGACATCTTTTATAATAATAGTTTCGAACCAATTTTATTAAGGTTTCCGTTTTTGCCATTTTTTATCACCTGAAAATCACTATCGGTACAAAAACCGCACTTCTTCGGAGACAGCGAATCGGAAGCGAATGCAAAAGAAACGCTGCAAAAACGCGCGAACAGCGTCAATTTGCCGCGTTGGTTTGAGCGGTTCCGTAAGCCGCCATGCATTTAAAACGCAGTGAATTATTCGCTGCCGCCGCGTTAAAAACGCGCCAGTTTGGGGGACCTTTATACTGAGAGTTGTGTAACGGGAAGTGGAATCGTCAATAAATCAAAAAAAATTCCATATTACTACGAAACTGGTACCTGGTCCTGACGGGGTGATAATGGTAAAGTAGGGATGGGATGGATCACGCTATGGAGCATCGTTCATTACTTTTTAACTATCAGAACCCCAAGGGTGCAAAGTGTGTGACACAGCACGCCTGTCCCGTTGCCGAGAAGCGTGCTTCTGAACAGCATCGCCATGCACTTCGCATCATTGGGGTTTTGTCAGTTAATATAGAAAGCTAACGTTAAGTTGGTTCGATGTGAGATCCTTATTCTCGCTATCACTTCGAAACTTTAAGTGCCTAAATATCAGCTTCCACGACACGTACTACAATGAAACTGTTACTTCACGGTTGCTGCGCTGCAGCATACATGCAGTAGCAATTTCAGGTGAAATGGAACTCTAATTTCCGAGATTTGTGTAATTGAATATTCGAGGTGGAAGTGCAATTATAGCTTACGTGGCGGCCATTTGTGGACTCTACAAGGAATAAAATTATTTTGATTTCATAAGATTCATATGAATTCCATAGGCATGAGTATGAGCATTCCATAAACACGACTTATGAATGATTGTCGGCAATGATCTGCTCGGCTTGACAATCGAACGCGTTAATCAGGCGAAAGAGTTGGGTGTGCTCTTAATGATTTGCGGACTGCAGAGAACATTCAACAGAGTTGCATCTGTTTTCGAATTTCATCTGGACAATTATTGTCCAGGTTCATAAGCTATGTTTTACGGAATTCTTAGGATTATTTTGCCTCAGTGTAGTATTAGTGCCATAGCTGGCAAACTCCCCCTAGCTTTCTATATTAAAAAGTAATAAACGATGTCCCAAAGAGCGATCTATCCCTGCTTTTAAGGATAATTTGTTTACATCTACCGTTAAGGTAACATTTTTCCTGCGCCTTGGTCAGATAGCGTATAGGGTGTTGTGCCAATTTGGTCGTGGCACATTTCGAGTATGAGAGAGTGGTTGCAGTTTGCTCAAAAGTGCCTGTGAAATTTTCGCTCCACAGTGCTGAAAATACGGAAAATCCCTGTAAATGTATTTACATGGCCGTGGGGATACAAAGAGAATTGTTGGTAATATCAGAACGTAGGAATCAAATCCGGATGCATTTTGCACCGACCTTTATCGGGGCATATTTTCGGTACGGTTAGGTCGCTTTTTTCCCAATGGTCTTGTCACTATAAATATTGGAACACACTTTGTTCCTATTTGATACGTTGCGAGCTATAGGCTAGTACTCGGGCTAGTATGTATAGTTTTCTTTCATTTTATTTGTTTGTAGTTTACGAAAACCTAAATCCAAGATACAACAATGTTAGGTCAGTCTTTATTATTGTATGGGATCCAAAAATGTTCAACAATTTTTTAGAATACCAATCACCTGAACTAACGATCAGCCTCCATTGCTCCAGCACCATTTTGTGTTTGTTATTGGTATACTGCCGATATTCCCATAACAGTTCAATGTTAATAGGAATTCCACAGGACGTGCGTGCTACTATTATGCGAATAGCGGCAGTATAATACTACCTACATCAATTTCTGGGTTGTTAATCATCTGCGTCGTCAAATATTCTCACAAGATCATTCACAGTCGCTGGATATTTTGTAACCGGACATTTATTTTCTTTCTGCAAATGTGTAACAATACAACGGTAGCAGTAGACGTACCTGTTAAGAGGGAAGACAATATTAGTTATTAAATAAATACTAGAAATGCGTCAAGGATAACAACCCAGAAACGGAAATCGCCGTTGGAATCAACCACCTCTGAAGACAGATCGGACAAATGTCTTTGTATTTCTGACTGTTGAGATCACTCGGTGGAGCCTTAGGAATCGGAAGCTTAGAAAGGTCACCCATGTTAGCTTCATTTTGCCACCATTCGATGAACTGTAGGAAAAACGCGGACAACTCCAACGCCCTCAGCAGAGCAGTGCTCAACATTGTAGCTAGTCTGGAAGTAGGTCATACTATTATATTTTGTTCCTATCACATCTTGCAATGTTTTGATAAAACAACTTACTTGACCTGACCTCCGAAAAGATCCCTGATGGTCCACGACTCCGCTTCTTCTGCCAAGTAGGTTAAAGTCAGATTTAAACCCCTCAGCACAGGTGAATGCGTAGGACTGATTCCAGCCAAGTAGGTGATGTATTGGACTAGTTTAATGCTTTCGAAACATGCTTTGAGGTATGGAATGACTTGAACCAACAGAAGCTTGTTCTGCGATAAAATCCTACCATTTTCATAATCATCTTTCCATTGTTGTAAGTGTTGCTCGATCTTGTGATGTAGATATGGAGCTACAACCAAGAAAATCAACGACCAGCGTTGACCAGTACGATCTAAGTTTTGGGTTCGCAAAGAAATGCGCGTTAGTCCGTAGAAAACTTCGGACAGTGATCCTCCTTTGTGGCGAAGATAGTAACTTTGAACGACCCAATTGAATACCAAGTAAGCTTCATCGTAATACCTTATAAGACTGCCGAAAGTTCTGGGCTTGATAGTGGCTAGAAACTGAGGAAACATGGTTTTATTATGAAGAACTAATTGCTTTCACATAATCTTCATTTGGTACTTACGTTAGCAACTCTTTTCAGCGCAGGATAGAACGTTGTATTTAAAGAATCTGCTGCTACTACTTCAAATATCGACGGCCGAGCTTCTATATTTTGTGTTATGTGCGCTCCTTTTGCTGCCATAATTGTGTTACAATTGTGTACTTCTAGTGTTCGATTAATTTTGCTATTACTTATGTTTAGCATGAGCCTATATTCTAAATTGTCAAGCACTATGCCAATGTTTACAAGATGTTATTCATTGTGTATTGTTGATTATGATCCGTTTCGGAAACAATTGCCGCAACTTATTTACTGCGTCAATCACTACAAAAAAAATCGTTGAAATAGCTACACACAGGTGACGGTGCCTCTGGTAGGATAACTGTCAGGCATAGCAGCTCCTGTCGTTTCGTAACATGGACTATTATTAAAACAAGTTACAACTCTGTAGTTCGAACAAGATGTAACTTTGATGACATTGTGATATTTCAATACAAAGCTTTTGTAAACAATCCATTCTCTAGATGATTTCTAAAAATTAAAGAGTCGCCCCCGTAAACCAACATGTCATAATATGTTGGTTTTGTGGGGGTGTATTGAATTCCTAGAAATCGTCGAGAGAAGTAGTTGTTTACAAAAGTGATGCAGGGTTCACTATAAAGAGGCCCATTTTGCACCGTTAGTGAGGTGAGGTGACTAGCTGTTACTACTCAATGAGGTACAGCTCATTGGTTACTACTGAGGTGACAAAAGTCCTGTGAGGATTTACACAGAGAGTCACCTCACTAGTGACAGCGAATCACCTCACCTGTCGCGGGGCAAAATTGGCGTTGACGGCACCGTCGAAAAATTATCTCTTCTTGCAAAGATTGACAGTTTCTTATGGGATTTTTTGGGGGATTGAAAGGATAGTACACAGTCCGCAATGATTCACGCACAGTCTGACGTTTGCTTATGGATTTTACCATAGGAGTAAAGAGCTATAGAGTCGCCGTCAACACCAATAGACCTCAATATTGCGTGCGTGATTTCCTTTTTTTGTGTGATAGCTCAATACTCATAAAGCCATCCATATTATTTACTTTAGGTAGCTTCAAGCTTTACGGATATTGCTTCGGTTTTTGCTTCTTTTCATGCACGCGCATGTACCTAATGCAATTTACTCTGGGAGTAAGAAGAATGGGTAGATTTGAATTCGCGTCGCATTGTATAATGCTATTGATAAAAAATGTTTCAGACTCTTCTCACTGATGGAAACCTCCATTGGAAGATGTTCGAATGTGTATGGGAATAACAATCCAACTTTAAAACTTGTATACTACCTATCTCCAGCTATTTGAATATTTTTTTTGGTGTCTCTTTTTACCACAGAAAAACAAGAATACCAAAACTGACGCAACCAAGTTAGTGGTGCTAGTTCAATATATCAGCATTTTTCGATGATTCCTTAATGTAAGGCACACATCGGGTTAAAACTGTTCGACACATCCCAAATGTGAGCAGATCTATTATAATGGGGTTTAACATTCGAACGCAAAGTTGTGTTATTGCTTCGTAATAATATTCCCCTTCCTTTTGGCCTGTTTTGTGTGGTTTTGCACACGACACTGAGTTCGGTTTTGCCGGTACAACAGTTATCAACTACAGTGAGTTTGCTAACCATAGGTAGTTTTTTTTGTCCTTTATCTCGTTTTTTTTTTTAATCAAGAAGATTCATTTTTATTCCAGACTCCCGAATAATCAGTTTATTAAATCGTGCAACAATGAGCAGTACAGCTGGACAGGTTAGTACTAATATATAAATTTGAAGCAATGTGAATTTATCGTTTTTCTTTGTGATGTGATAATGTAACGTAACATGATTGATACGCGGTGGTGCTCAAGGTGTTTTTTTTTGTGAATCTTACGCTTTCATGTATTATCAAACATTTTCTCTAATTTACATTATCGTCATGGCTAGCAATTAACATAAAGTTCCCATATTATCGTATTCGAAATTTGAATCAAGACCTGAGACCATCTGCCCTTGATCATGGACGCATATTAATTTGTTCCTGATTGCTTTGAAATAATTCGTTTCTATTCAGTGATTTCACGCAAGTTTTTTTTTATCGTAGCAAGTTATAATCACCTAAATGATTTTGCAGGTAATCTCATGCAAAGCAGCCGTCGCTTGGGAGCCGAAGAAACCACTCTCGATCGAAACGATTGAAGTTGCGCCCCCAAAGGCTGGCGAGGTACGTGTGAAGATTACGGCCTCTGGTGTGTGTCATACGGATGCATACACATTGGATGGTCATGATTCTGAGGGCATTTTTCCGGTTATTCTTGGCCATGAAGGTGCAGGCATCGTAGAGAGCGTTGGCGAAGGTGTTACGAAATTCAAGCCCGGAGACCATGTAATTCCACTGTACATTCCACAGTGCTTCGAGTGTAAGTTTTGCAAGAGTCCTAAGACCAACCTTTGCCCAAAGATTCGTGCAACTCAAGGAAAGGGCGTATTGCCGGATGGTACATCTCGATTCACTTGCAAAGGAAAAAATGTGTTCCATTTTATGGGTACTTCAACCTTCTCTGAGTACACTGTCGTTGCGGAAATCTCTCTATGTAAGATCGATGCGGCGGCGCCATTAGAGAAGGTTTGTCTGTTGGGATGTGGCATTCCGACAGGGTACGGAGCAGCTCTTAATACAGCGAAAGTTGAAGAAGGAAGCAGCTGTGCCATCTGGGGACTGGGAGCGGTTGGATTAGCAGCAGCTATGGGTTGCAAGGCTGCCGGAGCAACCAGAATAATTGGAGTCGATATCAATCCAAACAAATTCAAATTAGGCGAACAATTTGGTTGCACAGAGTTCGTCAATCCCAAAGATTACGATAAGCCAATTCAACAGGTGCTGATTGAAAAGACCGACGGTGGACTGGATTACACTTTCGAATGTGTCGGCAATGTGTTGACCATGCGTGCCGCTCTTGAATCATGCTCCCGTGGATGGGGTGTTTCGGTTATTATCGGAGTGGCTGAGTCTGGACGTGACATTTCAACCCGTCCGTTCCAGTTGGTTACTGGTAGGACGTGGAAGGGAACCGCTTTCGGCGGATGGAAGAGTGTTGAAAGTGTTCCGAAGCTAGTGACTAGCTACATGGATAAAAAATTAATGGTGGATGAATTTATCACTCATACTATGTCGGTTGATAAGATCAACGAAGCGTTTACTCTTATGCACGAAGGTAAAAGCATTCGATCGGTTGTTAATTTCTAAGTATTTCAAACACTGCATTTTGTTCTATTTTCGTGGTGGTAAAATTATTTATCTAATTTGTTGGGTTTATAATAAAAAATAACTCGTAAATATACGAGTATTATCTACACACATTATCTATAAGTATTATCTACATACAGCAAACATTTATCTCGAAAGAAATTATCCGAACTCCTTTTGTATATTTTTTGCTTTTTTGAGCGCTAACGAGTTTTAACAGTCTTAATAAAAAGCAGAAACACAAATCAGGGGAACAACTGAATTTTCGTTTTAATTTTCCAGTTCTTGTTCCCCCTTATTCGAATGTTTCCTGGCTTTTGAAATCATGTTTGTAGCCAACAATTTAAATTTGTTGTACCTAATAATATTTAAATGCTTCTTTCGATTTGATTGTAAATATATTCGAATTTTCCGCAAATTTTTCATAATTAGAAATTTAATAAACGGCCCAACAAAAATTAAATCAAAAAGGATTTTATTTAAGCAACATGATTTTAAAACCAGATATTTTTCCTAAGATTTTAAACAAACGCTAGTCTAATAAGCTTTTCAAACCATATGAAATTTATTGAACCCCAATACATTTTGACGCTTCTATTTGCATGTATTCATACAGATACAGTCATCTGAGATGTCTGTACAAATTATTAAAAAGTTTCCTAATATCTAGTTCGGACCAACTAATTTTGAAGTTTTAAAATTCATATAACGCATTTTTTAACACGCTGCGCTCAAAATAATCTCCTTTGCTCAGGTCAGCAAAAATTATGCTATGTTCAGTCTACGGTTATAACTTGTTATAAGGCTGCCTTGATGAATATACGTCATTCCCCGGAATACTTTGTTTTGATGATGATGATGATGATGATAGCGGTCTACCACTTATTTTAGCACGGAAACTAGTCCAATAGCTGTGGGCTCTCCTCATTGTTGAACTTGATCAAGCTTTATAACGTCTGATTGTCGTCAGCAAATCGCTGTATGAAGGGCCAAAAACGAATAAATGCATTGATTGGTAATTCGTCTATCACCCGGAGATGAACCAGACCAGGGCTGGAAGCCTTCTTAATAAAGATAATTAAAAAATCGTCTATGCATTTCCTTGGGACAGTTAAGAATCTCCTTCCAACAACTTGATCAGCCAATTGGTCAGAAAACGAGCCATTCAACAGGAAGATGCGCAATGAATGGGGAAAATAGCCCACCCTTTATTCACGAAATGTTAGCAACAGGGAGTTGACATCTTCACTCTCCCCATCCAAATCGCTTCAATTGGGTGTCCTGATGGTTCCTCCTCATCCCGAAGTTTTGATATTGATAATATGTAATATAATAATCAGATAATTCGATTCAATTGAAATCTACCGAAAATAAATGAGGCTAAGTTGATTCTTAACATAGAAGCGTAGGTGCATAGCTAATGGATAAGAGAAAGGAGAGTCAAAGGAGTTGACATGCAGAATTAGATGTCGTCGAGATTGAATGCGCATGTTTAATTATCGTTGATCCATTTACCTATCATATAAATTTGCATTTCATCTAGTTAAGATTATTGTCAACAAAACATACTTTTCGATGAAGATGGTGCTACCCGAGGGGGGCGACACATCTAAATCTCAATACTAGATGTTCAAAAAATTTCACACTAGCGAATCAATCTTCGAAAACTCTTCTTTCAGTTCTCGCATCTACTTGCATCTTTTTACAGGAAATCTTCAGAATCGCCATTAATCTTCTTTCTATCTATTCAGCCTGCACGCAGCTAGCCACAGCAAAACACAATCTTTCCTGCAACGTAGATAGAGTCGTCCCCCTCGGTGCTACCTATTTTACCTTTTATGTGATAGGGTAGAGAACTACTTCGGCCTAATCGCCCAGTTTGGACCTATCGAGCAAATACAATACAAATAAATCCATGATTTCAGAGTTAAAAAATCAATTATGCGTTTGGTACGATACTTTAGTTAATAAGCTACCGAACGAAGTCAATGAGAACGCATGGTATGAAGGTTTGCACCCATTATTCCCAAAAACAAAAAAAGCGCTCCGACCGAATCAATTTTTATCTTCATCCGATAGGCCGTAGTGAATTCATTGGCGTTTCAATGGTGTTTCAATGCGTTAGGCCGAGTTTAGAATCCGTAGGCCGAGTTTGGCGTCAAGAAGCAGTGTTAGACCTCTGACAATATCTCAAAGATTGGTTTCTCTTTATCAAATCTTACGGTACATACGGAAAGGTAAATAAATGTGGAAGCCATAAGTAATAATAACATTTTGTTTGGTGCTTAACTGCGCTAGATTAAGAAAGACTAAGTGCGGGTTGTGCTTAATAGGCCGGAAATGGGGTAGTTAACCCTACCAATTATCAAAGAAGCCAACCTTGAAGCGTAGACCAGGTCCATCAACAATACACTCGTTCCGAGAAGGGGCTCTATGGTACCACTCATTAGGGTTACCAAATCAAAAACTTGAAAAGGAGGACACTTCATTTGAAGTTTGGAGATAACGGAGGACAATGTTTGCTTTTCTTAACATTAAAGGATGACAATGAGTGTTTATCAAACGGGTTATTAATATGTGCGCTTTCACAAAATTCATGATTTTCAAAAATTCAATTGATATTGTTAATAGGTAGCAGTCGTTATCAATTCAATTCAGCTTCTCGTTATACTTTTGAAATGTGCATCAAAAGGAATTTATAAGCTACTTATTAATTTTACCATTCATTCAGCATAGAACTTTAAACCAAAACCTAAAATACCATAGAACCAGAATGTCGAAATCGAACACATGTTGGATTCAATCTACGGCTGTGTTCCATTTGGTGAATTTTCACTTACATTTTAAAGATAGGAAATTTTCAAATAACCCTGGTCTTGCAGCTGACTTATTTCTGACAGACAAATAATCCATTTGGATAAACACCTTCTCGAAAATTAACCAATAAATTTTCGAACTGTAAAAATTAAGTTGAAATTCTCCAATTGGATAACAATCTGAGGCTGTGTTCATTAGGCGAAATTTCCCTTAAATTTGACTCTTCGAAAATAAATTATAATGTTCGAAAATCCCTCTGTTGTTCATCGTCCAATTTTCGAGAAATAGTTTGTCAAAATTGATTCCTAGTATGTCAGAAATAAGTCTGCTAGAATGGGGAGTATATTTAAAAAAATTCCATCTGTCAAATTTAAGAGAAAATTCACCAAATATGCCACAGGCTAAATTTAGGGCTGTTGACAGCTATACTACCCATAATCGCATATCAGTCCCATCTTTGCTTGATTTCCTATCCATATGGGACTGATATGCGATTATGGGCAGTATAGTATACTGCTAATCCCACTATCGAATGGCATTTGCTAGATAAGACGAGGTTGCGACATAATTAAACAAACATGCCCTACAACAACGCTCTTTGAAAACAATTTTATAAATATGTTACTGGAAAAAAATGCAAGGACTCAAAAGGAGGACATTTTCAGGAAAAAGGATTATGCAGAAAAATTATTGAAAAAGGAGGACATGTCCTACCACTCATACTGTATATTAAACTTCTTCTTCTTCAGATTCTGTCACCACCAGAATGAACGGTCGGTAGGCCGTCCCTTATTTTCAGAAATTCGACCAATATGTAAATTCAACCTCTTAAAATATTCGTTTTGGTTTGAAAACAAACATATATAAATTTGAAGTTCGTACGTTAATGTTTAGAGGTCGCTAATCAGCCCTAAAGGAATGGTAGTGTAAGCTACCCCCCATGCCATGGTGAGCACGCCTCGGAGCACGCTACCTTGGTGTTCACTCCATAGGAATCACTATGAAGCCATGGTAAAAACCATGAAAAGATACTCGCACACGTATTCTGAACGTGAACATAAAACAGTATGTTACATAGTCACTCTTCTTCCAAGAAAATGTAAGAGTGTAAATGAAAGCTCTCTCTTTCTCTCTCCAAAAATGGGATAACACCAACAATCAATACGAAACTAACGATTTTAAATTGGCTCACTACTTGACTAGCCTATTGGTCCCAAGCAAACGATTAATGTACCCCATTCTAGTCGAAATTCTAGTACTACACAATGTTTGTTTTGATTTGCTATGAAAATTTGACAGATAAAATGAGGGGTTAGTGGATTTTCCTATGTTTCGAGGGGTGAATAGATTAGCTTGGGACCGATGATAGTACCAGAGCTGAGCCAAAAAGTTGAGCACGTTTTTTTGGGACCTTCTAGTCTTAGGTAACTCTATGATAACACTGTCACAAACGAAGTGACAGACGGAGCGGCTCGAAAACTTTGGTGACTAACCTGCTATTTCAATTTTTCAGTGTACCACATGGCAACACCACTACTACTGGATTGTAGACAGGGCAACACTACTACTGGATTGTTCTAGCATTTTCACCAAATGTATTAGAATGTTTTGGTTCTATCTCTTTCACTCTACTCAAAACTGATATGCATAAAAATATGACAAAATGATACACTCTTTGCACACGGTCAAAGAATCATTGTACACAAAATCAACTTTGTTCAAATCAAAACAAAAAAACTAACCCATCTGGTGGATGATGGCACTAGCTTCCAAGAAAATTCTATTACAGTGAACCACATTATTTTAATGGATTTCTTCGCCAGTTAGTCGTCTGTCACTTCGTTTGTGACACTGTCATGCGTTGAATTTAGCGATAAACGTAAAAAAAATCAAGTAATTCTCTGCTCTCTCTCTCTCTCTCTCTCTCTCTCTCTCTCTCTCTCTATCTATCTATCTATCTCTCTCTCTCTCTCTCTCTCTCTCTCTCTCTCTCTCTCTCTCTCTCTCTCTCTCTCTCTCTCTCTCTCTCTCTCTCTCTCTCTCTCTCTCTCTCTCTCTCTCTCTCTCTCTCCCACCCCGAGCGAAACACAACGTGTTTGAAGGACCTGCAGTGCATTCGGGCGCTTTTCCACAGCGTGGTTGAGAGCTACCATAACGGGGAGCCGACTGCTATTTTAGTTACTCGTATGGCAACCCCCCGTTACGGTTGCTGCGCTATGATGAGGGCTGCTAAAATGAGTTTAGCAGCGCACCGTTACGGTTGCCCTGAGA